TTTTCTTTCCATTTTTTTACTTCCTACTTGAAATTACTTTCACCTTTCTGTGGTGATAATCATGAACATACATAACTTATTCTTTTCCTTTGACACTCATTGTCATGAGTATTTCCACCAGCATTTCTGATGGCCCATGATGATCTGACCACTGCCCCCCTCTCTGTGCTCTGTCCCCATCTGTAGACCCCAAGTGTCGTTGTTGGGTTCTACAATAAACATCACAATTGATTGATTGGGAATAGGTGGTCATTCTCCGCCCTTCTCTTGCAACTTCTCCCATCAAGGTATAGGATCTATTTCCCTGTTCCTAAGATCTGGGCTGGTCTTGTGACTTGTTTTGGCCAATAGCACGGGGTGGACATGAAGGCGGTTGATTTCTGAGCCTCCACTTGAGGAAGCCTCCATGTTCCCATTCCCAAATGGTGGATCCCTGTAGCCTTCTTGTGAACAGTCTGGGCTAGTCTGAATGAAAAAAGACCGTGTGGAAGCAAATCCAGTTGTTACAACAAGACTCTCCTAAACTGACAGCTATTCACCCCACAAACACATGAAGGAGTCCAGCCAACATCCACAAAGCTGCCTCTCTAAACCTTAGAAGAGTGAACAAGACCAGCCGAGACTAGAAGGAATGCTTAGCTGACCTGCAGTCGCATGGAAAATAACAACAACTTACTGCTTTGGGTCACTCAAGTTGGCGGTATTTTTAAGGCAGTTACAGTTAATGGACATCATTACAGGAAGCAAGACCACAGATTTGCAGTCCCTCTAGTGGGTCTCCGGGGCTGAGGGCTCTGTCCACCTCCTCCAAGGTCTCTATTTCTAGGTCCTCATGTCTATTCTGGTACTGTTGCTGAAACCCTGAAGCCACCACATGTTTTTCTCAGTGGGCAATCTTTGTCCCTCCTGTCTGAGGTCCTTCCTAAAGACAGAGACAACTGCATGGTAGGAGAGGAATCTCTCTATACCCCATTCACCATGAGTCTTCCACTGTGGGTTGAATCATTTTGCTGAACTTTGAAGCAGAGAGGAGCATGGGACTCCCAGTATCTGGGCAATCTCTCAAGTATTGCCACAGGGCCCCCCAGGTCCTAAGCAGCCATCAGTTGACCCTAGTTTAAACCAGAACAGCTTTGCATCTCAAGGCCAGTGCCTCATGCCCCTTCAAGCCAACAGAGTTAGTATATTGAATGTTTCGTTTTAAAAAATATCATGACAATGCTGCTATATAGATTGCTCTCACTTTGTAAATCTTTAAGAAAGACTATTTATCGGGAAATTGGTAAATGGAGTCAATTCATCAAATCCACCATTTTTTCACACTAATTTTTGGAGATGGTTTTTGCCTTAACCCAGAGTCCTGGGCCTTCCATATCTCGTCACTGCTGTGAGTTTCACGTAGCACTTAGATATAAAGTAGTGCCCAGAGAAGGCTTTAGAGTGAGGAGCAGCTGCCATCCAGGTGTGGGTCCCAGCTGGTGCTGGCAGCCCTGTATGAATTTCTTGACTGCAGATGGAGGCACAGGCGCTTTCATATGTCCAGGTGCTGGGTTCCATGAGGCCAGATTCCAGGAACCCGACACACCCCAAAATCCTGCTCTCGGTTACACAACACCCTGATTCATTTTTCTCCCTCCTTTTCTCTCAATCCCAGTGTTGGTCCTGGAAGATAATGGGTGGAACCCTCAAGCCTGGGCAAGAATGCGTGAGCTTTGGTGTTTGGCACGGGAGTCATGGCTCTCCTGCCCCAGGGGAAGCAGGCAGGGTCCAGCCTAACTCCATGGTAACAGGCTTGATGCCAAGTGCCCCACTGACTCCTCACTGCAGCCCCATGCAGATTCACTTATCATACCTTTTCACAGGGAAGGTGACTGAGGCTTAGCAAGGCTGGGGACCTGCTCAAAGACATGGATCTAGTGGGTGGGGAGCTGAGATCCCAACCCGGGTGGCACTTTTCATCTAAGAAGTCTGCGGTCCAGCCTGGCGTGCCGTGTCGTCCAACCCATGCTACAGGAGACTGTCCCTCCCAGGAAGAGACGGGTAACTGTAGTGGAAAGAGGTGCACAGAGCCTGGCTTTTGGCTCTGTCCAGTTTCCTACTGGGCCTCATAGTTTTCCAATCTATACAATGGTGACAAGACCTCCCTAGGGTGGTAGCAAGGATTTAAATGTGATCACATGGTAAGGACCTGGAAATATGTTTAAATATGTTTAAAAGTTGTTTATATGTTTCTACAGTGGAAATTAAATATATACCTGAAGAAATTCAGTCTCAACTTAGAAGTCACAGCCCTAGGTTATTTTTCCAAAGTGTTATATGATTAACAAAGAGACTACTTTTGTACTATGCACAAAGGATGAACCTGGCCATGTTTCCTATGAACTGTGTGTACTTGTATATGTATATGTATGTGTGTGTGTGTGTGTGTGTGTGTGTGTATGAGTTTGTGTGTATCTGGGTGTGTAATGTGTGGCACATGTACATGTGTATGTAGTGTGCATATATGTGTGTGTAGTACGTATGTCTGTGTTTTTGTGTATGTGTCTGCGTGCCTCTGTACATGTAGTGTGTAAGTGTGTGTGTGAGTGAGCACAACACCACCCCTCAACGGTCTATTCTTGACAGCTTCTGAGCATCCCATGCTGGGGAGGTATGAGAGGGGCCTAGGTTTGCAACTCACGGAAGTGTTCCTCCCCAGCAAGCCTGGGGGAGCAGAGTTATAGTGAGCTTGTGCTCACCCTTCACCTTGCCTGGGCAGATGCCTCACATTCTCTTTGCAGTTTTGCAATGTGCGAGGTGTGCGTGTGAGAACTGATTATTTTTACCCAGCCCCAGATGGGTGTGATGCCAGCTGGAAAGAAGAGGTTGTCAGCGTCTGGAGAGAAGTAGCCCGAGGTTGGAGCTGTCCTGTCTCATACCCCCTCACACTCCTATCCATATCTGAGCTTCCCTTTGGGTGGGTGGGACTCTTGGTTGCTAAGACAGGCATGAGGCTCTAGTGTTAGTCGTGGGCTTTAGGGGCTATAGCCTTAGAGAAGCAAAAAGGGCTGGGGCCTCCTTGGACTCTGTGGGGAGGGTATTGAGTCAAAGCATGGGCCCTAGAATGGGGGTAGATCTGCTCTTCCAGGCCTCACCCTGAGCACGGAGCCCATTTGGGTGCCTCCATCTGGGTGCCTAGGAATGGAGCCTGGATATTGGCAGCCTGCATCTTTGGGGGCTGCAATGTGCCCCTCCAGGCTGAAGCTCCTGGCACCTGCATGCCCCATCCCCCCGCAGGTGGCTTGCACTGCTGGCCTGTGCGTCAGGTCCACATGGCTGCAGTCAGGCACTCTTGGTGTGTAGATTCCATAAGCACCTTTGCCCACCCCCTCCTCCCAGCTCCTTTTTGTGTTCCATGTCTTCTTCTAGCCCACTCCAGGCCTTCAATGCCGCTGCTGCCTCTTTCTGGACCATCAACCTCCATGGTCTGAGGCAGGGTTCCTGGCCTTTCATGGAGTCTCATAAATCTCACTTCCTCTGACACCTCCCATCCAAGGGACAGGTACACCCCCATGCCATTTCTTAATTGTGTCTTGCTTTTCCTTGATAGAATGTGTTCAATTTGAAATGGTTAATTTGTTCCCTCTAAGCTCTAGGAGGCAAAGATCATACCTGTTGGTGGCGCCCTCTGTACCAGGGCCTCACACCAGGCTCAGGTGAAGGCTGATCAACGTGTCTGGCCTGTTCCGTGACCCACTGGAGCTATTCCCTATCCCCAGATGGAGCAGGTATGAGCACTTACCTTTCTGGGTTGTCAGGTTGAGAGCAGGAACTCTGTGGCAGCAGAGTTTCCAGGACTTGGCAGGATGCCTTTTCCCTGAGGGTGGATACAAAAAAGCACAGACACTCCTTTAGTGCACTTGGGGGTAACCTGGGGTGGTTCTGTGCAGGGAGACTCAGGTTCAGAAAACCCAGGATGAGCCAGGCTATGTGAGGGAAAGGGTGAACTTTGTTGTATTTTAGTTTTCAGAAATAATAAAGTCAATGTTGGAAGATGACTATGCCCTCAGAATACATCCTCCTCATTTTCCTGTCTGAAGAACCATTCTGTGGCCCAGAAATGTCCATGCCCTTCCACACAGTCTCCCCTGGCAATCTAGCCTAAGAATCCTAAGTATAGGAAATATTTTATGTACACATTTTTTTTCTTTTACGTATACTTACTACAGTGCAACATTTTGAACCATCTAAATGTCTGAGCACATAAATTTGTGCTATCTCACTCACTTAATGGCAAATTATACGTGAGAATATTATATTATATATTATATTATATATTGAAAATAATGTCAATTTTGGGATCTGACATAGATAGTCCTAAATGGAATAATAGGAAGCTTTATGGAGAAATATAGTCATCCTTATTGAGTTGCCATGAGAGTAGCATTGGTGACCTCTAAGATATCCAAAAATATATTTCTGCTTATGTCAGAAATAGGATTTTAAGTTGAAGGCTTGAAGGCCATCATTTATAATAAATGCCATCAGCTATGTTTGCTGTTATTTCTCCACTGTGGTTCAGCCACAGTTTTCATGTTTGCTCATTCATACATTTCTTAGTTTTGTATTTTAAAGGTTTAAGCTTTTTCCCAGTAAAGTAACATCACATATAGATTGTTTAAAGTCTTAATAAACAGTGAGGTTTTTATAATACAGTAAGACAAAATATTGACCATATAGAGACATTAGCAATTTTTTTAAATGATGCACATAAGACTGAAAAGAAATAAACAGAATATTGAAATGGTTATACCTATTTTTTTTTTTTTTGATACAGGGGATTGAATTCAGGGGCACTCGACCACTGAGCCACATCCCCAGCCTCCTACTTTGTATTTTATTTAGAGACAGGGTCTCACTGAGTTGCTTAGCGCTTCACTAAGTTGCTGAGGCTGGCTTTGAATTCTCAATCCTCCTGCCTCAGCCTCCCAAGCTGCAGAGATTATATGTGTGCACCACCATTCATGGCCAGAACATGGTTATTCTTGAATCATGAAATCGTGGGTGTTTTTCTCTCCTTTATATATTTCTACATCCCTGGCTCTAATAAATGTTGAAATAACCATAACCATTGAGACAAAAAAAAGTTGGTAGTTTCTAGAGTATTAGGTAAGAGAAAAAGCCCCAAATATTCAGCTGAATGAAGAAAGGCAGGGGAGCGAAATAGTCACATCCTCAAGGGTGGAAAGAACATGCTCCCCGCTTCTGAACATGTATAAATATACCCCATATCTATCCCCATTTCATACATACCCTCATCCCATCTGCCTGTGCAAGATGTTTGGGATGTTCAAATTCAGATAGTCAACTAATTAATTATTCATTCAGCACTAATTCACTCTGTCCCAGCCATGCTACAGATCCAACAGAGTGGCTCCAGATTTTCTAGACAGGTTGGACTCACGTGCAGCAATCTAGCTGAGAGGTCTTGGGCTTGCATGTAAGCGTGATGCTTCACCTAGGCTGTCTCTTTTGGAGGAGTTGGAGCTATTGATGAAGATTGTAGGTCCTGAAGCCCCAAAGCCACCTGTTTGGTGCTAACTGTGGATAGAGACACTGCATGGATTCAGGAGCAAGAGCCTGTCTTGTGCAGGACTGCCTGCCAAAGCCTGATCTCCAACAGTTCCTGTTTGGAAACTTCCTAGAAACTAGAATTCAGGTAGTAGCTCAGGTACTAGCACCCCAGGGGGGCAGCCCTACCTTCTGAGGAGAAGATGGAGAAACAGAGAAGCAGGATACAGAACAGGCTGGAAAGTATTAGAAGCCTCATGGTGAGGTGACTGGAGTCTCAAGTCTTCAGCTGGAGCTGTGCTGCAGAAGGCTTCCCTCAGGACCACTACGGCATTTATAGAGAGTGACAGGGAGAGGCGTTTCCCAATGGGCAGGGCACCAGCAGTGCTGAAAGTCCTGAAGAGTACAATCAGCTCCTCCCAAGAGGAAAACTATCAGCTTTTTGAGAAGTCAGGAGCATTTAATGACCTGTAACACAGACAACTGTAAATGCCTAGCCCCTGAGCTCCCTGATCTGGTTTCAGTGGTCACAGCAGGAAACTCCTGCTATAAGGGGAGAGCCACTTCCTAGGGTTGAACATTAACTTTTAGTATCTGGAATAATCATATGCATGTCTTCCTGCTCATTCCTCAGATGAAGCTGGGATAAGGACCATAAAACCCTTTTCAATGCCTCAGGGATGGCCAAATAACCTGGGTTTGAATCCTTACTCTCATTTATCAGCAGTGTGACCTTGAACTTGTCGTTGAATGTCTCTGAGTATGCATCCAGTTGTAAAATGGGCACAGAGATTGAGAGTTCAAAGCCATCCACAGCAACTTAGTGAGGCTCTAAGCAATTAGTGAGACCCTGTTTCTAAATAAAATACAAAATAGGGCTGGGGATGTGGCTCAGTGGCCGAATGCCTCTGAGTTCCATTTCCAGTACCCCCCAACCAAAAAACAAAAAAACAAAAACCAAGGAGTAGTTGCACTATTGTTAAATTATTCAGGTGCTGGATAATTGTTTCATATGGTGATAAAATGAAAGGGTACTTCAGGTATAGGGTTAGCCTGAAAGGCATGGAGGAGGGAAACATCCAACCAGGATTGGCATGTGGACGTTGGCCATGGGTGCAGGAGGCTCAGTAGTTACCCATTCACTGGACATGTACCTCCAGCTGGGCCACATTTTGGGCCTCAGGAACACAGAGACACTGTGTCTGGCCTCAGGTGACTTCTTTGGTGGAGGCAGCCATGCAGACAGGTGACTGCCACACTGGATCCTAAGTGCTGTCCATGACAAAGGCTAGTGAGGGATATTGTACAGTGAGGGAGTTGGGGAGGAGGCAGTTTTGTAGAGATGGGCTAGAATGAGTGGGAATTGGGATGGGGGTGGGCTAGCATGATGGGTCAGGTCATGGTGGGCTGCTAGAGGTGAGGTGTTGGATTGGCTAAGGTATGAAAAGGGGAGGTATAGGGGTCTTTCAGCTGGGGAGAGACCGATGGTGTGAACGCTTTGAGTTCCTTTTCCATCAGGAATGGTCTCTGGATGTCCCTTTAATAATGGTGCATGGTTGCCTGAGCATATGCAAGACCCTGGCATTAAGGGGTAAGTTGGGTGCTGCCAGTGTGGTAGCGTATATCTATAATTCCAGTGCTCTAGAGGCTGAGGCAGGAGAATTGTGAATTCAAAGCCAGCCTCAGCAACAGCAAGGCACTAAACCAGTTAGTGAGACCCTGTCTCTAAATAAAATTCAAAACAGGGATGGGGATGTGGCTCAGTGGTTGAGTTCCTCTGAGTTCACTTTGCCAAGCACTTTGCCAAGCCTCTGCCTGGGCTGTACTCTAGCCCCTACTCCTGAACCAGCTCCTGCCTGTCCTTCCAGCTCCAGCTTGAGTTTCCTCCTTGTGAATCATCAATGACACCTAGAACAGCAGTGGTCACATAAGCTGTGACTGTTACCTCTTAGCATGCTCTTTCCCCCAGATGCAGAGACTATGGTGATACAGGTCCTGGTGAATGGACAGCAGGATCCCTGAGGAATGACAGTAAAGTGAAAATGTGTCCAAGGGGGTTTCCTGTTGGGCATGGGGTCGGGGTGGGGCGGGAAGAGGCTGTCCCAGGCTGAAGAAGCAATATAAATTTTGTATGGCTGGAGAGAAGATGGGCCAGCCTGCAGGAGCTCCTTTCTGGAAGCCAGCAAGTGAAGACATACACATAGCTGGCATGAGTGCACACACATATTTGCGTTTATGCTTGGAATGGGATGGCCATCTGTCCTTTGTCTTGAGAATCATGTCCTTCTAACTGAGGAAATGATGGCGACTCCCAGACTAGAAAGGCATGTGGGAAGATGGCATCAACTGTTCAAATCTCCAGGATCTCCCTGGTTCCTGGCAGCCAACTCAGATGATTTCCTGCTGTTGGAGCCTAATCTATGGCCCTTCGATTCCCTGTTCCTCCTCATTTGCTGCAGATTAGAGAAGCAATTTAATCCACATGCTTAACAGCTCAACGGACAAGTCAATGGCTAAGGGCAATTTTGGCAGCCATCCGGTATGCTTTTATATGTTTGCAAAGCTTTAAAGTCAATTCACACAAAGAAACTGGTTGGGGCAGTTAAGCTTACGAACTAGACCTCATCCTTGTTAGTTACCCACCCCAGCCCCAGCCTGATTCCCTTTGTGGCCTGTTATCTGAATTCTGATGGCTGTGCTGAATGTGCAGTAGCCATGCCATGGGGTTCCAGCAGGAAGAACCTGGGAATTTACCAGGGGCAGAACCAGTGCTGGTGTCTAGGAGATACTGGGGGCAGCCACTGTTGGAAGAAGAGAGAGTCAGAAGGTGGGACTTCTCTTGCGGATGCATTTGCCTGCCAACACTCTATTCTTACTTAGATTGCAATAAACTGCCAGTTTCCTAACGGTGATTCCTAAGATCAGGATTATATCCATGATCCACATTAAGGATAGTACTACTATTTTACTAATTTCATATTTTATCTGGGGTTGTTTGGGAGTGCTGCCACTGAGTTCCCTGAGTAGCTGCATACCTTGGGCTGCCACTTATATTGTCACCTGTTGTAACAGGTACTACTGGAAGAGTCCCTTGTTGTTTTTGGCAAACCATCATTAGAGGGGAAGGGAACAGTCCAGCTGGCAGAGGGGGCAGCCAAGAATTTAAGGCCAACTCCTAAACATGAACTCTAATCTCTTGGGGAGTACATAAATTAGGAGTGGACTTTTAGGCAAGTGAAGAGATTTGTCTGTAACCTACTGACCAACTAAACTGGGATTTGGATAACTTTCCTAGTATTTGGCAGCCATTCAGCTATGGAATTGGAAATAGACTTCGGGTTCATACCACAGGTTTTTTCCTCCTTACAGAACAGAATGCTAAGGGCACTGTCCACTAAGGGCAGGAGAAATCAGTTATCTTCAGGGGTTCTAGTCCTCATACACTCACACATACCAGTCACAGATTTGCAGGTTTCTCTGGGACCGTACATTTCAGTGGAAAAAGGGACTCATTTGTCAGTTTTCTGCTTTCTAAAGGCTCACAGAAAATTACTGAAGCAATCCAGGCCCACGTTAATTTAAATAACACCGAGTATAAAGTGTAAATTCCATGCTCAACCCCATTCCTCAGGGACAATCGATGTTCACAGATTTTCACCTGCTATTAACATTTCAAAGATAGCTGTCAACTTCTTATTTTTAAAAAGGAAGAAACACCTCTGGCTTTTTAGAATATTCAGAATCTCATGTCGAGCTGGGAGAGGTGAAAATGAGAAGCATTTTAACGGGAACACCTGCTAGTTTTAAGCACATGCAGTTTAGGTACCAAAAAGCTACTCAAATTTGACGCTTTGAATGATTTCCAAAGATGATTTTGAAAATTTGTCAGCCTTTCTGAGAAAGAAGTCTCCAGACAAGCACTTAAAATTCTAGAGATCTTACAAGGAAGGAAAACAGTTCAAGGCAAATTTGCCATTTCTAAGACCAGTGAGGACGCTGCCTGTAATGTTCCCACCCTTTACGGTTAGAGCATTTTTTGCTCCGTGTCCTACACTGCAGTTTTGAGTGAAACACTCTCCATCCAAGTGTTTTATGGATCCTATAATGGACCAGAGTTTACTCTCCTTCTTTTATTTGCCTGGCAAACTGCAGATCGGCTCTGAAGGGAGGGTGGGACTAGGTCCTGGACACTATCCTTTGCTTGTCCTCCCACTGAATTTCCTTCCTGTTTGAGGGAGGCAGGAGTTTCTATTTTGTCTTAAGGAAAATGAAGTTTCCCTTCACTTTGCAAAAAAGGTCTTGGGAATTTCTGAACTGCAGCCAGGTCTGTGTATGACAAAACCATGGTTCTCCCCTGAGTTCCAGGAAATAATCTACAACATGGATGTTTAGCTTACACTCCACCCCATATTGTGCTCCACACCCCCCTGAAAGACTGTCCTCTACTTTTTACAGTTAATCTGAACTTCCTCATAACCTCCAATCTACTGGGTTTTGCTTGCCTCTGGGCATCCTGCTGTGTGGTCAAGGCTGGTGAATGAGGCATCTGGCCCCTTGCTGACCCCTTTGCTTTCACTGGAGCTTTAAATCTTCCCACTGTTATTCACATCTCCCTTCCCCCAACCCTGTCCACCTATAGCCTTTGCTGTGGGGTTATTCTGCCTGGCCTTGGTGGCCACCTACAGGTGGAACATCGTGATTTCCACCATATCACAAAGGCTTGTGGGGAGACTAGAAAGCATTGATTGGCTTTTCCATTCTTCCGTGGCCACTCCATATTGGTGTTGGAGCACCTGTGAAGCCATATTCTTTGACTCCCTGATAGAAATAACCTTTAGCTTCTGGGGCTTTTGGGCTTTTCCCCCTTACTCCACCCCATGTTTTTGGCTGGTATGGGGCACCAGCAGGCTGATAAGACAATTTTTGTTTCCCTGCCTCCCCTATTCTTGTGCAAAGCACAGCTTTTTCAGTCACATGACCCAGGCTCTAACCAGAGTGCTACTATGTTTTAGATGACAAGACTGGAATACTAAAATGTTGACTGTAGGGAAATTTATTTATTTTGTAATATTATGTGGTCAATTTCCAGAAAGGAGGGTGCCGAGATTTTCCCTCCCTTTTTGCCAATCCTAGAATGTTTATTATCATAACAGTTCAGGATAAAAGACTTCAACATGCTGAATAGTCATTCTGACCCCGAGATGCTATAGTGATATTTTGTTTAATTCCTATCCAAGATTCAATACCATTTCAAGATTTAAAAATATTTTGATTTTTTAAAAAACTTTTCTAGTCACCATTGACTTAGATTTACATTTTCTGAAGAATTAATTCTCTCATAATATGCTAAAAATGTATTTTATTTGACAACAAATTGTGATTGTATGTAATTATTAGGTTCAGTGAGGGAATGATTGAATCAAACTAACATATTCCTAACTGCAACCTAATCAAAATGCCTTCATCTATCCTCTCCCTAGTTTCTGATAAATACCATTATTCTCTGTTTCTGAGTTTGATTTAGATCTTACATATAAGAGAACATATGACTTTTGTCTTTTGTTGACTGGCTTATTTCTTTTAACATGTCTTCTAGGGCCATCCATGTTGTTGCAAGGACAGATTTTTTCAAGGCAAAGTAATATTCCATTGTATGTGTGAATTTCTTTATTCCTTCATCCACTGACACACATTTAGCTTGTGAATAATGTTGTAATGAATATAGGTATGAAGATACCTCTTTGACATACTGATTTCAAGTTTTTAGGATATATACCCA